TCCACCCTCTTTGGGTGAGTGCCTGGGGGGCTGCGAATTAAACTGACGCTAGACAGAGTAACAGGAGAAAAAAATACAAATTATATTCAATATTTTACATGCACAGGAGTTCACAGAAAAATAAAACTCAAAGAAGTGGTGAGACTCTCGGGCTTATATATTGTTTTAGCAAAGAAGAGGATTTATACTTCAGGGAACAAACAGATTATGGGAAGGGGACTAGGAAACATATGGGGGAAATTAATGGAAGGGTTATTTTAATAAGGTTTGTTTATGCAGAGTCATCTCAATGCTTTCTGTCTCCAGTGATAAGAATTCCTTCCCTATTACTGATACAGGACGAGGGGACACCTTCACAAAGGGAAATTTATGGTCTATCTTAAGGCAGAAAAGGAGAGGGCAGAGAACTCTTCCCATATCTGTTGATTCTCAATTGCCTTCAACTCAAAATAACGTTCATGGCAAAGTGGCGTAATTTGGACTGGCTTATATTCATCCTCTTTAATATTAAAATAGGATGATTTCTAACCAAACAGAAGGAAACAGACAGGCAAAAGTTGCAACAAAATCTGAATGTAAATTAAACCAGATTTTGCTTGAGGCTTCCGCTGGCATTATTACCTACAAATATATTTGTGAGAATGTAAATTAATTTCACATCATCATGAATCAGAATTCTCTGGCTCAATCACAAAACATAAGGGTCTTCCAAATCTTGCCTACCCACATTTTTCTCAGTGTTAAGATAAGTCCCTAAAATGGCAAAGAACTGAATGAGGAAAATAGCCAGACTTCCAGAGGAATGCAAAGGAAATGCTGTTCCCCGAGGGGAATTCCTGGAGTCCTCAGGTCTCGCACTAGATGGAGCCGGGAATTCCCAACATCACATGTTCAGCCCAGTTGTGAAAACACAGAAGTTTGAGAAGAATTTACCTGTGTTTATAAATGGGAGCAGATTCAAGGCTAACCCTTGTGATTGTCATTCAGGACTGTTCACAGACACTCGATTTCAACTTTTGCAGCCCACGTGACTTGCTTTGGCAAATAAAATGTAAGAAGTAACACGTCACCTCTGGGGAAAAGCCTGAAGAGCTGGTGCACAACTCCCCACATGATGTCTTCCCTTCTGGATGAGTAAGGAGACCCCCCTTGAGGCAGGGGATCCATCAGCCTGGGTCCCTGAGGAGCGACAATGAGCAGGGACCCCCCACAGCATCAACTGATGTTGGTTTGCGTGTGGAGTGTGAGCAGAATGTACTTGGGATGTGAAACTACCAGGATGTAGGGGCTGTTTGTTACAGCAGCCTAAACTGGCTCATTCGACTGAGTCCGTTCTCCAGTTACTTGCATTTGGATGATTTAATATAAGTGAAAGCAAAGAAGGGTGTGGTCCCAGCTGGCCTGCAACTGAGAACTGCTTGTCACCCACAGGGATGTTATCCATTCTGTGGGTGCCGAGGATGGGGAAGGTTGAGAATTACCATTCCAAGCTGGCTCTTGGGTAAAAGTTAGATACTTTGGGAAACACTATTTACCCTTTCAGCTCATGTGTTAAATATGGGCTGAATTCCTACTAACTACCCCTGGAAATGTGCCTGCAGACAGGCAGCACCTGAAGTGTCATTCCCCACCAAAGACTTACAGACATTTTTATAAACCCTTTTTTGTAAGTCTTCAATTGTCTCCAAGTCAGTGGTTGTCATCTTGAGCTCTAAGAAACTCAGAATAGAGAGGAGGCCCAGGGGAGACCCCCACACTTTTAACAGAGCACCTCCCATTTTTAGCTACTTTACTCATGCAATTTCATTTGAACAAAAATCTTCATGACCAAAACAGGGTCTAAGGGCGGCTATATAATGTCTTGTCCATACTGGCGCCATACTGCTAGGTAGTTAGATAAGTGGGAGCCCCGAACAGAAAGGTGGAGGAGAGGGAGGAGGGTCCAGAAGATGGCATGATGCCCACCTCCAGCATAAAGGGGCTTTACCTCCTGTAAGTGACTGCCAGCAAGAAACGGGTTAGAACCCAACAGTTGCAACTGCGCGGTGGCGAGAAGGACCAAACCAGACATGACCAGTGCTCACTGTAATATAATTAGCACTGCAGTTAGGCACCCGCATGGGTTCTTCGGTGTGCACCATGGGTAAGGACATGTGCAAAGAGGACTAACATGACCAGGCATTCCAGGCACAAGAGCTGTCAATCAATCAAAAGACCTCCTCGAAACGGGGGTATAAGAGAAAGGGACAGAGAACACTGCTCTTCCTCCCTTGGGTCAGCCCACCGCCCATCCTTGGAGCTGTATTTTCCCTTTGTTAAATAAATCCTTTAAAATTTTTCTCTGCACAACGCTCCGTCTCCCATCTGAATTCTTATCTTTTGGGTTCGACAAGAACTGGGGTCTTTTCCCTTCCCCTCTGAGGGTAACAATACTAGAGGCATGAAACAGCGCTGAAACCAAAAAGGCCAGCTTTTAAGGGGGCTGAGCTCAGGCACAGCCAGAACTGGAGAAGAGGAAGTTACAGGCAAAAACACAAATAATAAACCCTGGTCTAGGTAAGGGACGAAACATGGTTATTACAATAATAAACATCGTTCTTACTGCTAATATCTGTCACCATCTGGCATGCTATATTTTTAAATCAATTTCTTTTGCTTATTATCTGTCTCCACCAAGTAGAATGCATGAAGGCAAGGATTCCTGTTGGTTTTGTTTAACTGCTGGATCCCTCAGCACCAGAATGATGCCTGGCATGCAGTTAATGCTCAAGGTGTTTTTGCTGAACTCGGCCACGAACCCCTGAAAACCCTAGTTTACTATTGATTCATTTAATTCTCACAATGACCCTATTACGTGGATGAAATTCCAATCTGCACTTCACTGTTGAAATAACTGGGGCGCAGGGAGGTTGAATAGCTTGTCCTTGGTTACACGGCTAGTAAGTGAGGAGATCGTAGTAAGATCCCGGACACCCTGGCTCTGTAGCCCACACCCTTCTTTCACTTGTAATTAATGATCCGGAATTCGTTTCTAAATGAGTTTCTGAAATGAGTTTAACCGAACCTCCTCCAGTCTTTGCTTTCTTCCCTTCATTCACGTAGGGTTTTCTTTTCTATTACAGTCATCCCTCAGTATCCGCGGGGGCCCGGTTCCAGGACCTCACACTGCCCCCCCCGACACCTTCCACGTGCAGATACCCAGATCTGCAAATGCTCATAAATAAGACGGTGTAGTATTGGGTATAATTTACGTGCATCCTCTCAAGTACCTTAAATCATCTCTAGATTACAGATAATATCTGATTCAAGGTAAATGCTATGTAAATAGTTGCCAGCTCATGGCAAATCCCAGTTTTGCTTTTTGGAATTTTCTAGATTGTTTAAAAAAATATTTGGGATCCACAGTTGGTTGACTCCGCAGATGAGGAAGCCTCAGATACAAAGGGCCTCATTTATACTTTATATATGAAGAAACTGAAGCACAGAGAGGCTAAGAAACAGCTGATGGAGGCAGGGACAAGTTTCGAGCCCAAGAAATGTAACTGCTCACACGCTTTAACCACCATGGTCTGAAAGGAGCCTGAGTGCTTGTCTTCAAATGCGAACTTGGAGTCGGATTACGGGTCAGGCATATTCATGAATATGTAGCAGTTGTGCACTGGTACTGGCTCATGTCCCAGACACATAAATACATTTCATGAGAGTCTTCCATCCTTGGAAATACTGACTGCTAAGGCATCACAGGGTGATAAAACAAATTGGCATACAAATCTGTTATTCTTAGTCAAACGTCTAAGAACTTTTCAAACTCTCTGCAAATTTTTTACATTGAAGACAAACATTCAGTAATAAAAGTACACAGTTCACTCCTTTTTATGAAGAAAAGCTGTACTAATTAATATCTTGTAATGCTTGCTCTCCGTCTGTATTCTCAGAAATGTTCTGGCCAACCTGGAACCCAGTTTGACTTTCACAGTAACACACTGGGATTCCACGAACATCCACAGATTTGCCTCTTGGCTGCTCAATTCAACGGCAGCCAGATGGAAAACGAAAAATGAGGATGGGGCTGGGCCCAATGTCAAAGACACAAAGAAGTCATTGAGCAGAAACAGTCCAAAGTCTTACCCAGCTGCTATGAAAGCACCAAGAATGATGGCAAAGACACTGATGATAATGTTCAAAGAATACTGTTTCCTGTAATAAAAAAATAATGGATGGACAGATAGGTAGATAAACAGATAAGGAAGGGAGGAAGGGGAGGAGAGAAAAAATACAGGTTATATTTTTACATAAACTGAACATAGACATTGTTAAGTTTTACAGCTGAAAAATCTAGTGGACAATGTGCTTTTTGTAAAGAGACACTTAAAGTATCTGTAAGTGGATTAGTAAATCAGAGCAAAGTTCCTTTAATTCTTAAGTAGTCGTCTTAATCGAATTATAAACATATTTCTCTGTTCTCACCAGAGATGCTGGCAGGTCCAGTCAGTATGTATTTTTATCAAGCATCCAAA